GGCAGGAAACCACTCAGCAGCTTGTCTCATTCCCTCCTCTGGAGAGATGGGAGGGTGGGCCTGATCCTGTCCTCCCCTCACAGCCCCCTGTGGGGTGCAGCAGGGTTCGGAGTTGGGGTGGGTTGGGGGCAAGAAGAGATGGAGGGGGAAGATTTTTACTCACGAGCAGAAAGGGGTTGAGGGGAGAAAAAGGGGATTTTGCGGAGTCGGCGGTGTTGAGGGTCTCCCCTAGGCTCTGCCACTGATTTTCAGGGTGACCTCAGTCAAGTCTCCTCACCCCCTTCTCTGCCTCTACTTTCCTCTCCTGCTTCTGCTTTGAGAGCAATGGAGGGGAAAAAAAAAATCATCTCCCAGCTAATTTAGTAGCAGCATCCAGAGCCCTTGCATGAGGTAGAGATCCCTTGTGCTAAGGGCAGCACAAGCACTTAGTCCTGTTCAAACTCTTGGTAAGAGACAGTTCACGTCCCAGCACCGGACAGAAAAAAGATGGGAGAGAAGGAAGTAACCCTTTACAAACAGGGAAACTGAGGCACGGAGCAGCCATGTGCCCCTGGTGGCACTGGGGCAAGAAGATGTGGCTGGTGGAGTGAGGACAGAGAGGACCCACCGCCTGCTCAAAGGATGCAAAGGAAATCACCCGTTCCAGGAGGGCCAGGGCATGACACACACCACAGCTCCCGGCCAGCCCAAATCCCAGCGCTATCCGGGAAGGTGACCTCATCCCTGCTCCCAGTGCCCAGCACCATGACCTGCACAGCCACGGGGGCCAAGGGCTGGCCAGGGACACCGGACACCAGGGGCAGAGGACTCATACCCTGGCCACCTCCTCCTGGCAAGGAGACACCCTTGCCTTGGCTTCAACCTGATACCCCTGAGCAAGAGCCCGAATGTGGTGTGAGGTCATTTTATCCCTTCCTGCAACCCTGATTTAATTTTCCTGATGGTTCCCAGCCCATCCCAGCCTGGAGAAAGCAGCCCGCAAACCACAAGGCCACTCAGCGTGCACAGAGACAGCCTTGGGCTTGTGGGTTTGGGATGGGGAGGGAGGAGAAACAAGCCCGGCACTGATGCAGAACGAGTCCTGCTTGGGGTGGAGACCCGCCCCCAATATCCATAACCCACCAGGGCCATCAGTCCTCTGCGGGGCTCTCTGCTTTCCAAGTGAAAAAGGCTTCTTCCCACCTCCGTCAGCCACTTATTTTCTGGCTGGTCCCTGCAGCAATACCCGGCATCACAAAAACCTGCTGCGGGCTGCAGGTAACCCGTAGCGTTGCATTTTCCGTCCCACCGGAGAAGGGGTGGGTGACTCCACTCCTGAATTTTATCTCAGCTGCCTTGGGTACGCGGGCTGCTCCTGGCGCTGGGCGTGTGCCCGGACCCGTCCGGCGAGCCCTGGCTCCCGGGGAGCCGCACCTCGCCTTGGCTGCGGCTCCCAACACCCTCGGGGGGGCCCCGGCTCCTCGTTGGGGCCTGTAGCTGTTCCTGACGTGCAGAGAGCACGGGGACACGCTCCCACCTCTCCTCACGTGGCTCCGGGTTCAGCAAGTGGGGACAGGCTCGGCTCGTGGGCTCCTCGGGGTTGGGGTGCACGGAGGAACCCCTTTTCCCCGGGGAAACCAGGCACCGGCCACTGCCGCACATGCTGCTGGGAGCTCGTGGCGCGGGCTTTGCCTCTGCCAACCCCAAATGCGACTCTGTGGGTGAGAAGGGAAGGGGGAGAAGAGGCTCGTGGGGTGTTTCAGTCGATCCTGTCGCTGCTCGGGGCGTGGGAATGAGGAGCAGGACAGGGGGGGAGCAGCCAATGTCCCAGAGAAAGGTTCCCATCAGGGGGATAAATGCCACAACTCAAATCGGGTATCCTGGTGGCAAGAGCGGGATCTGACCTTGTTGGGGGGCTGGGGGCTCTGTGCCTCCTCACCAAGGCAGTGTAAAAACTCACTACACCGTTCTCAGCTGCCCCTGCAGCGGACCTGGCAGAAGGGGACATTTGCAGAGTGCCCTGGGGTGGGTGACCTTCTGATGTCCTGGGGTGGGTGACCCTCTAATGCCCTGGGGTGGTTGAGCCTCTAATGTCTTTGGGTGGGTGACACTCTAACGAGAGCCTGCTTGGAAGGGAGCAGCTCCCTGGATTTGCTGGTCGAAAGGCAGATTTCGGACACATGCACCCAGGCCGTCCCTGCTATGAGCAATTTTTAACTGTTCTGCTGGGGGCTGTAAGCATCCCTCAGGCCTGGGGCTCCACAGGGATCGTGGGCAGAGGAGGAGGTGGGAGGAACAGGACTTCTCCAGCACTGCTCCCGCTGCTGGCATGGTCCCACATGAGTCAATATTGCTGGGCAGAGAGGCCACACAGGCTCATGGCACCTCCCTCCCTCCAGCCCCGTTGGGCTGATTCACAAATCCGCTTGGAAGAGCAACGCTGCCCCAGCCAGGCTGCTGCACCAGTGTCGTGCTGTGCTGGTGCAAGAGGCACCGCGGTCCATGGTGCCAGCAGGACACCCAAAGGTGTCCATTTCGTTCGCCCTAAAAGGGAAACCAGCTGCACGTGGGCAAGGGTGGGTTTGGTTGCCTGAGTGATGGGGAAAGGAAGAGGTGGCGTGTGTGGTGGGAGGGCTGTCTCCAGGTGAGGCACAGGAGGACCATAAGCACGGGACAGGAGCAAATTGGTGCCTCCCCAAATACTCACGCAGCCTCCCACCTACTGGGACCATGGGCTCCCTGAGTCAAACAGAAGTCATTTATCAGAGGAAAGCCAGCCCAGTTGGGTTGAGTTGCATGGGGTTGGGTTGAGTGACCTCTGGAGACCCCTTCCAGCCAGCACACATGGGTGAGCATCACAAAGTGCACGAGGAAACTCGCTCCTCCATTCCCTGGGGCCAAGCAGGAGGACACAGCCTGGGAGGACACTGCTCTGGGAGACGTGCATGGCTTAACCCCAAGGACCACAGCCTGACTTAATGCCTGGCAAGAGCAGGCCGTGATGTTGCTCCACGGACTGCAAGGACGAAGCTTTTCTCTTTCTCTTTTTCTCTTTTCTCTTTCTTTTTTTCTCTTTTTTCAATGCCTGAAGGCCACCGCTCAACATCCACCTACAAGCGCGCCCTGGACGCAGCTCCCCAAATTTAACCCTCACTCCATTTCTCAGGCCTCGTTGCCTTGATCTGCATTTGCACCAAGGACCCTTTACGTGGGCCCTCATGCTGTGGAGCGTCTTAAGCGGTGCATCAGCATAAACTGTGAAAGACAGCCTTAAATGTGAATAAAAAACCACGCTTCAGGCACTGCAACTCGCTCTGTAGGTAGGCAACATCATTTGTGGTTACCAACGCACCAAAGGCAAAGCTCTGCTTTGACTTCACTGTAATATCTACCCAGGAGCTGGAGTTAAAAGGCCATATTCATAAGGTGACAAAAGCAGGATCAAGGCCATCAGAGTGACTTGCCACCCCTGAGACACATGATGAAAAGTGAAGGTATGCACACATCATGCCTCGAGTCGGTCTGTTAGAAAGCAATGCACAATCTGTAAAGATAACCACAGATCTTTTTTATTTTAAAAAATGGAAGTAGAAAAGTTTGGTTGAAAATACCAACAATGAAAAAAAAAATAATTAAAAAAATAGCACTCGCACCGGAAATGTTTCTGTTTTGAAAACTTTGTCAATAGCTACAGCAATTTAAATCATAAAACAATCGTCGTATAAAAACATATTTATTTAAATTAAATATTTTATGCAAACTCATATCTACACTCATTCAAAATGCATAGAGTCACACAAAAAAGATGGAATGTTTTAGCTTAAAAACCTGTGAAGTTGTGGGGTTTTTTTAAGTATTATTTGCAATTATTATTAATACATGTTTGGGACCGAAACCAGAAAATCATAGCCACGCTACTAACTAATCATTACCAAGTGCCATACAGTAAACACTAAGATTAATCATGTCATATAACTGATTTAAAATAAAGCTTCATCTTTATGAAAAGGAAGAGAACTCGAGCAATACAAAATCCGAGGGGAGGAATAATGGAAGGAATAAATCAATGTACAGCTTTATTACAGGCAATAACAGGCCGGAGTTAGAAGAGGCATTGGGCACTGCGGCTCGAAACGCGAAGCATTCGCCTTCGAGGGACGTGTGTTAAAAACGTGTCTGCTACATCATCTCCTCTTTGCCAAAACTCTCATCCCAGGACCCGTTCCCAGCCCCTGCTTTGGGATTGCTTTTGCTTGGAGGCCAAGGGGAAGCCATGACGGGGGGTGGATGCCGGCCAGATCCTGCCTTTCCGAGCCCTGACCTTACTCTCCTCTGGAACGCCCAGGCTGAGCGCCCTTGGGGCTGGCTGCCTCCCTGCAGCCCCCCTCCACATATCCCCAGGACCAGCCCGGTAGCATCCCTGGTGTTCCATCTCCTTTGGGGATGAAGCCCCCAACACATGGTCTAGGGGCAGGAGGACAAGGCAGGTTTAACCCCCATCAGTGTGGTCGGGCAGGTCAGGGTGGCTGCAGCAAAGCTGACACCAGGAGCCAGGAGCAGCTTGCAGACCATGCACCCCTTTACCAAAATCTTCCCTTTTCCCCCCCATCCCTGCCTTTTCCCCTTCCAGGGGGGTTTGCCCCTGTCAGGACTTCAGGCCTGCCATTTGCGGGATGCTGCTGCCCTCCTGACTCCAAAGCAGAGCCAGGGGTGCCCTGAAATTGGGGGTGACCTTCCCTCACTCCCAGGAGCATCTCTGCTTTGGAAGAGGGACTTCGCCAAAGGGCTTTGGCGTTGGGAAAACCCCCGCGGCCCCGTTTGGAGCAGGGCACCCGAGGCTTTGCACCAGTGGTGAGCCAACGACCGAAATCCTTTACCTACGCCACCGAGGAGACTCCACGGCCATCGTGGTTCGGACTCGGTCGCCCTGAGGGGCGGTGAGCGATGTCCCCGGGGAGCAACGCCTCATAATACTGTGTCGGGTCCTTCCTCGACCGGTCCAGGCGGCCCCGGCCGGGGTTCTAGGAGACGCTGTAGTTATTGTAGTAGGTGGCCGTGGCATCGGCGAGGACAGAGATGAGGCTGGTCTCGGAGGTGTGGGAGCTGCCAGACACCGGGACGTGTCCGTTGACCAACACCCCGCTGTGGTGGTCGCTGTGGCCGGGGTTGTTGAGATACTGGTCGAACTCATTGCGGTCCATCTCCCCCAAGAGCTCGGCTTGGCTCAGCTGGTCCAAGGTGTCAAAGCCGTGGTGGTCGGGCGGTGGGGAGAGCTGGCCCAGGTGGGCATGGAGGCTAGGGGGGTGCAGGGAGGGGAAGGCGGGTGTGTAGTAGGTGGGAGGAGGAGGAGGAGGAAGGGGAGGGCAGCTGGAGGCCGGGGGGATCATGCAGGTGGCCGGCTGCGTCATGGGGCTGAGAGGGTGGTGGTTGCACGGGAGGGAGCTGCCCGCATACTCTGGGGAGTAGGTGGCTCCAGTGAGGTGGGAGCGGTGGTGCTCATCGGGGCAGGGCGAGGAGAAGAAGCTCTGCTCGGGGTCTATGGCGTCCAGCGGAGACATCTCCGGGGGGGTGGGCAGCCCGTAGGGGTAGGTGTCCACGCTGGTGCTGCTGCTGCTGCCCGAGGCTTCCCGGTATCCCCGGATGGATGGCAAGCCCGGGCGAGGCGGGTACTCACCCGGCCCCTCTTTCTCCCCGCCGGCCCGGCCACAGGTCCGCTTCTCCGGCACCGCGTTTTGGTCCCGCGTCAGGCTGCCCAGCAAAAACCCGGGGTCCACCCGCTTGCAGATCCGCTTGACCTGCTTCTTCCGCCGGGGCCGGTATTTGTAGTTGGGGTAATCTTGCATGTGCTTCACCCGCAGCCGCTCGGCCTCCTCCACGTAGGGACGCTTCTGTGAGAGGCTCAAGGCTTTCCAGGACTTGCCTGAAACGGAGAACGAAACCCCCTTGAGCGCCCGCGGTGGCCATACCCGGATGGGGGGGAAAGGGGGCTGCCTCCCAAAGCTTGCAGGCGCACCACCCAAGGGCGAGGTAGGGGCTCCCAACATCTGAGCCGGCGCACATGGAGGATGCAGCCTGCAAACCCCGCAGGAGGATGAGACGGCTGCAGGAGGGCAAAGAAGGGGGGGGATCGAAGCCACTGTAGGTCCTCCAACTCCCTCCAACCCAAGCCCCCGAACAGAGTGGGTTCAGGGTTAGCTGAGCCCTGCTGCAAATAAATCAGGGCAAATAAACTCCCCCAGCTCCACGGCCTGATCTTGCAGTGCCTCTCTGGGATGGAGAGCCCGGCTCCTGAGCAGGGGTGGTTTAAGGCCATGCGTGGCTGAGCAGGGGGTCAGGTCGTGGCGTCCCTGGAGGTATCCCAGCCTGTGCCCTGCCAGGACTTGCACCAGGGTGTAACAGAGATCTGGGCACCACGACTGCACTGCTCCCTGTTTGAGATACACACAATGTCCCCAAGACACCGGACAGAGAAGCAGTACCAGGGCCGGGGGGTTGTATCCCACGGGGAGGCTACCCCAGGCTGTTACTCAAGGGTAGGGGGAGAAATGAGGATACAGATCAAAGCATTTGTTGCCTTCCCATTGCCAGAGAGACAGCAGAAATAACACTAATAAGCTGAGATGCTGCATGGCAAAGCAGCGAGGCAAAAACCCAAACCACCAAAGAAAACACCGCAAAACTGTCCAGGGAAACACAAACTTTGGGTTAGAGGCTGGACAGCAAAGCTGTGTCGCAATTTGGGCAGCTCTTTCTCAGGCTGTCTGGGCTGGTTATTTCTGTTTGCCCTCTTGGTTTCACATTAAAAATGGGGATTGGGAGAACGGGGGAACAGCGGATGGAGAGTGGGAAATGAATGTGTATTCAAAATGGGTTATGATCCCCAAAAAGAAACAGCAGAAATATACACACCCCCCACTCATGCAATATTGGGGTGGTGCTAGTGAGCTTGGGGACAAAGTGGGACAGCAAAGACAGGCCAGGAAAATCTAGGGGTCCCTGCTTGCACAGCATCTGGGGATCCCTGGCACCGGCAGCACGAGGAGTTTGCACCCCAGCAGGGTGTGAACATGGGTGTCTGCTCCCTGGGGTGCGGAACCCCATCAGGCTTTGCACCCCACAAGGCAGCCCGATGGATGTTGCCCCAGGGTGCTGGACCCGGGCAGGCTTTGCACCCCGCAGCGTGGCCATGGGGGTGTGTGGGTGCCCACCCACTGCGTGTCAGACCCACCTCTATCCCACAGGTCGACCGGGAGGGTGCATGCCCCCCAGGGTGCTGATGCCAGACCCAGGCAGGTTTCGCACCCCAAGGAGTGGCAGGGAGGGTGCATGGGTGTCCATTTGGGCAGGGTTTGCACCCCACGGGATGGCCGGGTGGGTGCATGGGTGCCCTCCTCGGGGTACTGAATCAGGACAGGGTTTGCACCCCATGGGATGGTTGGGTGGGTGCATGGGTGCCCACCCCAGGGTACCGAATCCAGGCAGGGTTTGCACCCCATGGGATGGTTGGGTGGGTGCATGGGTGCCCACCCCAGGGTACCGAATCCGGACAGGGTTTGCACCCCACGGGATGGGCGG